AAAAAAAATAAATGTTTAATTTAAATACTAGTTAGGTGGCCAAGAAAACATGTAATTACTTACCTAACCCATTAAATTATATGCTAAATAAGATTTCGTATTTAAACTATAAATAAACCAAAACAAATTTTGGCCGTATCCATTATCTTACAGTTTTTATACTGTATATCAAACAAATATGCAAATGCATTTAATTCACAGCCCTGGTAATAAGTAATGATTTAGCAGCTGTATAGGCGAAACTGTTGTACAGTGAGACTAGTATTGGTAACGGACAACAGTGTTGCAATAATACTGATCTCCCAAAAATACATACAAATACTTCAAATAAATCATTAAGCAAACTCTATTAAATATTAATTTATGAAAAACTATAGGTAGTTATTACAAAGCATTATTATTATAAATGAAACAAAACTATGAACTATAATGGACTGTATCTTAGTGTATCCCATGTCTCGCTGTACATATAGATACTTCTATATTTTTAGCTAAATAATTTCTGTTAAAATAAAGGAAAATGTATTAAGTACTGTTCCTATAATTTCCAAATTTGAGTTTTTACTTTTAATATCTTTATAAAAAAATATCATAGAAGGTTAAGTACAATTATTTCATATGTTATAGGTACATTTGCGGGGTTTGATTTAACTAATATATCTACATTCTAAATGCAATGAACCTTGCAAAAATGTTATTCTACTACTCTGCTCATATAAGCTTTAAAATTTAAATAGTTAGCAAAAAAACTACTTGTAAGATATTTAATTTATATAGATAAAAATACTCCACCAAATTAAAAAATAATTTACTTTTCATAAATATGATTGACGGATTTCGCTCAAACACAATAAAAAAAATATAAATAATTTTTTTTTTACATAAAATAGTTTTAAAAATTTTTTCTAATTTGACTTTGATAATACTATAGTTAGTGTAAAATAAAAATCTATATTGAAATTAATGTACAATAGTCATATATTGCAATACATGTTCAAATGCATAATATATTATAACAAAATATGTTTAAATGTACATAGCAGACCACATATTTATTGGCTGCACAATATTCTGTACGTCACACAGTCTCTCTTTAAAATTATCCCGTCTACAAAATATAAATCATTTGTAAATCTAAAGACTTAATTGAGTACCTAATAGATAATTGTTCTAAAAGAGCGACGTGCCCTGTCGCCAGCTCAGTAAATCTAAAGACTTATTTGAGTACCTACCTAATAGATAATTGTTCTAAAAGAGCGACGTGCCCTGTCGCCATCACATTCTTTGCCCTTTGGCTTAGTGTGAATATCTGGACATTACAATTGCGGAAAGGTGTTAAGTGTACGTATCGGCCGCTGTTACTAGATCCCGGATGGGTGACCACCCGGAATTTTTAGCAACAAATAGTTGCCACACATACTAACGTGTTTTAACCAACCGTTACTACTCACTACAAACAACCTACAAGCAAAAAAACTATCTAATGGTCAAAGTTGCTGGGCTCAAGCTCAAGCTCAAAAAAAAAAAAAAAATCATTCAAAAAAAAAAACTTATTACGAAATGTACAATACTAATAAGTTATATTAGATAGACGTGCGGGGTCGTCTGATTAGGTTAGATCAAAAATAGTATTTATATCATTTCTTTTGTTAAAAGTTTAAAAGAGAGACTGTCGTGACTTGAGTTACAGTTCTGTCTTAAATTTACTTTTTATATAGAGAAAACTTAAAGGTGGCTGGCATATTAATATCAGAGTATTTATGAATACATAATTTTTAAAAAAGAATTATTATAATATATATATTATAGTGTTAAAAAAAAATAAAAAAATATTATAAAATAATAATACTAGGTAGGTAATAATAATAATAGATTTGAATAATATTATGCAAAAATAATTTGATATGTATCCATAAAAATGGCATATATGTGCTTCAAATTGTTTACACGAGCAAGTGAGCTAGGTATGGCTCCATCCGTAATATTTGGTATAAGCTTAAGGTGTCAAAAATCAAAGGAGAAACTTGATAAGCAAACACTTAAGTTCGGCAGCCGACTCAAGATCTTTTTATTCAAAGTGTCCTAATAAGTCATAAGAGGGTTAATTAGGTAAACCTATTATGGTTAGTGGATCCAATGGTGATGATAGACGACTATCATCACTGGTCGTGAGCTTTGCAATGATTTTTTCCTACTAACTATCCAGGTATTCGATATTTTAAACATAACAATGAAAGAAAATATTTAAATAATGGTTATTTTAGGTTAGGTTAGGAGAGGAGAGGAAATTAGACGTTAACTAATTATCATAGTTTTGAACACGGTCTTAAAGACTGCCAGCTAGAGTTGTACCAGTATAATTAAAAACTTAAATACAGCCAACTTTAATTAATGATTTTTTTACCACAACGAACTAAAAATAATATGTATTTTAAAATATAATAAAATATAATGTTATTAGGTTTTTATAAGATTTTAAATACTTATTAATTTTTAAATATAAAATGTATAACTTGATATTATTTTAAATTAAACATTATTTTATGTCCTTCATAAATTACAATCAAATGGTAGAGTCCGTAAAGGACCTTTTTCTCATTTAATTATTTTGCATCCTTAATAAATTACATTCATTTTTATACATTTTCTAATACATATATTACAGTGATACACCTCTGATCATAATAACTATTCGTTAATTATAAATTATAATGTAAGAAATACCTAGTTTTTGGGTTTTAGTTAAAATGTAAATTCCAGCGTATTCTTTTGATTAGTGTTAATTCACATGGGTTCCTCATAGTCTAATTTTTTCGATTCATTTTACTCTAGTAGATCTTTTTGTACAAACGTTTTTAAACGAGCTGTATAATCGTTGATATGTGTTCTGATTGTAGAATTTTTTCTAAATTTTTTTTGGTTTTCTAAAATGCAATTGCCTGCGGGCGCCAACACTCCCCTTCAATTTTTTTTTTAGGAATTTGACTCTAGTTGAATTTTTTGTATAGACTTGAATATTGTTCACAAGCAGGTGCCCTCTGTATCATCATTCTTTAATGAGCTAATCATTGGCAATATTGTTTTTTCGGTTTTGGATTCTGGACATTTTATTTTGAACTCTTTAATGTGTACTCCTACTGTATATTTTTTTCAAAATTTTTTTTGGTTTTCTAAAATGCATTTGCCTGCGGGCGCCAACACTCCCCTTCAATTTTTTTTTTAGGAATTTGACTCTAATTGAATTTTTTGTATAGACTTGAATATTGTTAACAAGCAGGTGCCCTCTGTATCATCATTCTTTAATGAGCTAATCATTGGCAATATTGTTTTTTCGGTTTTGGATTCTGGACATTTTATTTTGAACTCTTTAATGTGTACTCCTACTGTATATTTTTTTCAAAATTTTTTTTTGGTTTTCTAAAATGAATTTGCCTGCGGGCGCCAACACTCCCCTTCAATTTTTTTTTTAGGAATTTGACTCTAGTTGAATTTTTTGTATAGACTTGAATACTGTTAACAAGCAGGTGCCCTCTGTAAAATCATTCTTTAATGAGCTAATCATTGGCAATATTGTTTTTTCGGTTTTGGATTCTGGACATTTTATTTTGAACTTTTTAATGTGTACTCCTACTGTATATTTTTTTCAAAATTTTTTTTTGGTTTTCTAAAATGCATTTGCCTGCGGGCGCCAACACTCCCCTTCAATTTTTTTTTTAGGAATTTGACTCTAGTTGAATTTTTTGTATAGACTTGAATATTGTTCACAAGCAGGTGCCCTCTGTATCATCATTCTTATGTTTATCATTCAACCTATGTTAAGTCCTTTGACTCCTTCCGGAACACTGCCGGAAAAATCAAAAACCACGCGCGCCTATACGTTACGCGTCATACACGCATTAGTCACCTTTCACTTTCGTGCACTAAGTACGGTTACCTCAAAAGCCCGGGAGCTCTTGAAATTTATCTCGTCGGATAGAAAATGTTCAAAGCTTTCGTGGACATAGTAATATGCGACCGAACAGCCCAGGGGACTATTTTTTCGTACTGAATATATACGGGCGGGTGTGCCGTTTTTAAATTTTTTTGACCAAGTTCCGGAAGGTGGCACCGCATTAAACCTATATATTCGGAAAGCCAGGGAAATTCTCTATAATACGTTTATACTTTAAAAATGTTCAAAGCTTTCGGGGACATAGTAATATGTGACCGAATAGCCCAGGGGACTATTTTTTCGTACTGCCTGTACGATCGGGCGTGCAGTTTTTAATTTTTTTGACCAGGTTTCAACTTTCGTGCACTAAGTACGGTTACTTGAAAAGCCCGGAAGCTCTTGAAATTTATCTCGTCGGATAGAAAATTTTCCTGGCTTTCCGAATATCTATGTTATGTCCTTTGACTCCTTCCGGAACAATGCCGGAAAAATCAAAAACCACGCGCGCGTATACGTTAGGCGTCGTATGGGTGTCGTGTATAGTGCTATCTCCTGGCTTCGCGGCGTCATTTTATAATACTATGATGGGTAGATGACCTTATAATATTTCGTGAAGAATCTTTTACTGCTATTTTGTGGTTAGAAATAGAAGTAGAATATACAAACGGCCATAGACCTATAAACTTTAGGTCTATGCAAAAGGCAATATAAACGTTGTTCGCCTAGAAAATACCGTAATGCAACCGGGCATACAAGTTTTCTTATCACCAAAAATTGGTCTCCTAGCTTTGGTCACCCTACTTCATACTCGTTATCACGGTCTTAGAAGATCTTCTAAGACATCTAAGACCATGGTTAAATATGTACCAAGGTTATCACGCATAGATAACTGTGATAGATACTAAACAGTAAACATTTGTGAATTGTGATATAGATTATAGGATAAACAAAACTACACGAGTTAAATACTTAAATATTATAAGTTATATTAGTTATAACTTATAATACAAATAATAATCCTTCAGGGGTTCAAGTTTATAATTTTGTTGTATAAAATACGATATTTACTATGGAGCCTTTGTCAAAAATTTCACTCAATAATCAGGTGATTTTTACCAAGATTTATTTTAGCATATTATAAAGTTTTAAATTATTTATTAAAAATCAAATATTTTCATAATTTGATATAATTATAGTTCATTTAATAATATTATTTTAAGTACATTAAAATCCAAATTTATATTTTAAACGTTTTTATATTATTATCTATATTAAATGATGCAACTATAGTTATTTTTAAAAGAACTTAGTAACTTAACTAGTTGAATTCAATGTGTAAAACAATATATGCGTTAAAAACAATAAGTAACTAGTAATTTTTTTATACTGCGAAAACCTTAATGTTTCGTAAATCATACAACATGCCAGTGCGGAGTAGTTAATAATAAATGATTTGTATATTGTCATAGTAGATACATTTCTTAAAAATTATAACATTATTTTCAATCAATCTCTCATATTACTTCTAATGTACGATTTAAACCATAGCTATAAAATGTATATGTAATATATATTTAGCACCTAATTATTAATTAAATGTAAATATTATGTAATACTTTATATTTGAAGAAACGGGTCTTTAAATTTATATTTGAACTATAAAAAACCAAGTTAGAAATTTTGGGAATCAACTTATACTCTAATTCTAAGTTTTTGTGGTAGAGCGCTCGGTGGTGGAAATGTAATTTTGTACACAGAAATACGCTCTACAGGAATAATGATCCTGTTCTGTAGAATCCACCAAATTTGATAATTTTTTTTTAACTATATTCTACAGGCTGCATTGAACTCTGTTCTATACTCAATATTTTAATCTTAAATTTATAATATGTCTTCAAAATTAATACAATTTATGTGTTTTGTTATAAATTAATTATACTATTATTTTAAATAAAATAAAAATCTGAGTTTGATGTGGCCTGTAGGAAAGCATTCTTTTTTCAGATAAAAAAATAGTTATCAAAATCTGACAATTTTACAAAGCCTGAGAATTATTCCCATGAAGTAATTTTTTTTGATAAAATACACCCTATCTCTAACTCTCCTAAATAGGCATCTGGTAGTAGATTAGTGGAAAAGTATTAAAATTAAGATGACAACTAAAATATAAGATTTATTATTCAAATTTTATAGAATTGTGGACAATTTGAAAAACTGGCACCGGGCACCTTAAAGTAATTTGACTTCAACTAGTTGAAAATGAAAATACTGATTAACTTACCAAGTTTTGCTCTACCTTATGTGAAATACATCAATTGTTAATACTTTTTTAGATTGTTACAATGCGTCATATCGTACGTAAATCAAAAGTGCATACAATACACAAATTAACGCGGGAAGCAAAAAAATTAAAAGAAAAAAAAGGAAGTGAAGAACAACTTATCAAAAATAAAAAAAAAGCTGACCGCTTTATCAGTGAATTAATGGTGATAAAGGTATACGTTTTTTTTATAATATTTTTACCCCAATTTTTAAATAGACTACACATTAATAATTTTGTTTATAGAAATTGAATGATGACGATGTTACAAAATATGCCTTACAAAATGAAGTACCTTCTGCTAAAATATTAAATAGTATAGACATAACATTGGAGACTAGAGCATTAGCAAGGTTAGCTGGACATAAGTTTATAATAGATGAAGTTCAAAAATTTAGAAGCAAATATTCTGATTGGAAACTGTGCATAACAGATTTGTTGAATGAGTTAGGTGCTAAATATAGAGCCAAAAAAAAACCCAATAAAAATAAATTAATTAAGACAGAGGTCAAAACTAAAATTCTGAATAAGAACAATAAAGAAATTAAAAACATAGAAGAATTTGGATATGATCAGTCTGAATCTGACGATCAGTCAGTGTGTGACGGTGCTCGGTCTGAGCCTGAAGATCAGCCAGTGTCTGGGAGTGATCAGTCTGAGCCCGAAGATCAGTCAGTGTCTGACGGTCCACAGTCTGAGAACGAAGATCAGTCAGTGTCTGACGGTCCACAGTCTGAGAACGAAGCTCAGTCGGTGTCTGACGGTGCTCAGTCTGAGCTCGAAGATCAGTCAGAGTCAGAAAATGGTTTAAAAAGTGACAGTTCATTAGTGCAGAAAAGGTTGCCTCATGAAGACAATACAAGTAGTGATGAATATCAAAACAATGTGTCAAAAGGCTCAAAAATTGTAACCTCAAACAATAAAGAACTGTTTGCCAGAAACAAAGATGAATGCCCAAGTACATTAGACATAAGTGTAAATTATTCACAAGGAAAAACAAATGTTTTTAACACAGAACTACCCAAGAAAAACTTACATTTGTCTGCTAATGAAATTTTCGACAACATTGATGTAAACGTTGATAAAAATGTATCAAAAAGAAAAGCGAAACAAAATATTTCAAATAAAACTGACAATAAAAAAAAAAGAATTGCAGTAAATGAAATCAAGCCTGTTTGTGAAACAGTTGATTCATTTTTCATGACTGTTGACAATAAGGATTACATGTCTGTATACAAACCACCACCAGCGACTGAACGAGACATTGAAGAACGTACTAAAGTAGAACATCAAAAACCAATTAAAGAATTTTTCAGTAAAGGTAAAAAAGTGATTATTGGTAAACAAAACAACATGGGCAATCGAAGAGAAAGAAGGCAGCAACAAGTTGAGGAATCTGTTGATACAGCATTACATCCGTCATGGGAAGCAAAACGTAAACAAAAGTCATTGGTCAAATTTGAAGGAAAGAAAATAACATTTGACGATGAAGATTAATGTTTGTAAAAAAAAATTTTAATCTCAGATAAATAATAAAAAATAAATAAAAAAATACAAAATAAATAACCACACTGTTACTTGTTTAAATATTTATTGTTTTTAGGACTAGAAAGTGTGACCAATTGCACTCTTTTCTTTGTGGGAGCTTCAGAACAATCAACAATTTGTTTTTCTTCTTCTTCTTCTTTATGTTCTATTTGCAATGGAGCAATTATAATCGGAAGTTCTCTATCTTCACTATCTTCTTGGACGACCGACTCGACTATTTCCATTGGCTGGACTTTAGTGTTGTCCTTGTACATTACACCCAATTCGTCTTTTGTAAAGCTTATTATTGAACAAAATCCATCTGATGAAGACACTATAAGTAACTGTCCATCAGAAGACCTGATAAACATAAAATTGCATAATATAAATTATAAAGTTATGAAATATAAGTTTCAAATAGTTGGGTGCTTTAAAAATTATGTTTTACCATGATAGGTCTGTCAAACGAGTATAATGTATATCCCCAATGTAAGCAAACGGAGCTGCGTGTTGGGTATCCATCAATAAAATACTTGAATTTGTTGCTATGGCATATATCATTCGGTATGGTAAATCAAATATTGATTTTGTCTCTTCTTTAAGTTCATATAATACTGGGGAAAACTGAACAGCAACTGAATATTGGTCAAGAGATGGTACATATAGCACAGGCTTAGTAAAGGATTTTCTGGCAAATACATAGCTGACGTTAGTGGTGCTTTTATTTTTGTTCTCCTCATCAATTGTCTCCATAATACCGGATGAAGTTACTAGAATTTGACCATCAGGAGAAAATGAAATGCGTCGAAAAAAAGATTTCAGTGTATCATCATGGAATAGTCTAATTTTTATTTCTTCGCCATCGCCTTTTTTCCCCAAAGGAACACATTTATCACATTTATTGAATAATTTACAATTTTTTGTATTAAACACTCTTAGAGTTCTACAAATAAAATAAATACGAACAAATTAATATAGAATATTGTAATAATATGTATCTCCCATTTACCTGTCACTACTTAGTGTAGCAGCATACACATTCAAGGGATCCCAAGCAACTCCTTGTACAAAACCTTTATGATCATCAAGTATTGCTTTATAGCGTCCTATTAATTTCAATTTTAATTTAAAAATATAAAAATATTGATTTGGAGTAACTAATTTGTAAAACTAAAAGTACTCACCATTCTCAACATCCCAAATAATTGCTTTATTATCAACGCCACCAGATATAAGTCTTTTAGAATCTGGAGACCAAGATAAATCGTAAACGTCTTCTAGATGGCCTCTCAATACACTATGACAAGCCCACTTTTCAAGATTTTTTGATTCATCGTCTTCCAACAGATCGGGTCGATGATCAGGACCATTTTCCGGTTTGAATTTCCACAAGACGATAACAGACTCTAAAAGAAAAAAGTTAGTTTTCTAAATAAAAAAATATTAAATAATTAATTTACCATCATCGCCAGTGGCTAACCATTGTCCATCGGGTGAAAAACGTACAGTATTCACTGCTTTTTGATGCTTGGTCAGATCGGCTGCAAATTCAACGGTCACATTCGAACCATCCACTTTGATTCGCCATATCTAAAATATTGTTGTACACATTCAAATAATAATCAATACCAACAAACCTGCGGTCACAAAAAATATAATTATTTACAAAAACATGAGAATCCGATCCACCAGTAGCCAGTCGATAGAATCCGTCGTCGGCGACTGGTTGAAAATGAACGCTAAGCACTGGGTCACGATTGTGCCAAGAAATCTCAGGGATCACCAATTTCATGATCGTTGATGTAGACTAGTAATATTTTATAAACGTATGGTCAACTAGACGAAATAATTAGATCTTTTTTTTTTTAACAGAATGTTCACTAACTAGTCGAACTGTTTAATAACTATTTAAATGTGGAAACATGTACACTCTAGGACGTGATGGTGTATGAGAAATGAGAATAAGAGATTAGACTACATTAGAGAATAGTGATACACAAATGATTGCAATGGCCTTGATATTTTGGCGGCAATATTTTATCAACACAATAAGACATTTAATCTATTCAGTGATAATCACGGACTAAGATAAACAGGACTGGAAACTATAGACGGGAGGAGTGCGGGTAGCCGGAACCATAGTGTAACGCTTGTAGTACATGGACAAATGTGGCTCTATCTATTGATAATATTTAGCATTTGTTACACATATATTTATTTGCATATTATTTTTGTTTTATAATGTGGGGCGACAATCCAAAACGTACTATTGCCAAAATTGAAGAAATTGAGTTACATAATGATTCTTATAGAAATTAAGGCAGGGAATCGAATAGTGCAATCAAATTGTTACAAAACGTACCTACTATTTCCCTTGTTAAAATCAATCTGAAACTCATAAATGATGCAAAACGCACTATTTCCAAAGCCAAAATTTGTCTAAATGCACTATTTCCAAAATTACGTCAAAACGTAGTATTGTCAATGTTAAATAGTTTGTTTATTGACAAATTGACGCAAAACGTACCAATTCCTCGAATTGTACAAAACGTACAATTTCCAAAGTAGGCTCATATGTACTATTTCCCTAGTATGAAGATAGGGAATATAATTGAATTGAATAAATAACGTACTATTTCCAAAATCGTGGAAAAATAGAAAATCGTGATTTCTCAAAAAAGTGTAAAATGGAAATAGTACGTTTTATATTGTCGACCCACAATTAGGTACAATAGTTTAATACATTTATACCACGGACTAAGATAAACTAAGATAACTCTATTGTGACTCTATCTTAGTCCGTGATTTATGCGCACCTATTAGCTCTTAGGTAATTCTGCAGCTCCCACTAAAATTTGCCCTAAAATTACAAAGAGACACTTGATTATTGACAATTTTTCAAAAATGTCTGTGAGGTTAGCTACTCAGGTAAGTAGTAATAATAACAAAATATTATTAATAATATTTGATAATAAACTTTTGTTTAATATTTATTATAATTTTAGGTTCTTAGTGATTCGATGGCTAAGGGTATCATATTTTATCGAGACCATGAAGGCATTGAATCATTAAAAGATAGCCACGAAACACAACAATTTGTAGAAATTTTTAATAAAACATTCGATGCACTCAATCGCAAATACCCAGCTGAAGGAATCAGAATTAATAGTCATGATTTTGATGTTTGTTTATTTATCTACAATTTAATATTTAAATATGTATAACTAACTGCATGATTATTCATAAATCATAGGTCCTAAATGAAACATACACCTGGATAAATTTATGGGAAAGTAATGTTAAGCATAAATTAATTCCAGAAGAAGAATATCTGACAAAAAATACAGCTGAGGGATTAAGAGTTACTATAAGATCTACCATAGAGTTATCTACATATCTTTTAAAAGAATGTGGATTTAAATACGTTTTATCCTCAAAAATGAATCAAGATCGCTTAGAAGTAAGGGTAATTATTTAAAATAAAATACATCATTGTATAATTTATTTTCCCCATAGCTATTTTTTGGAATGACACGTCAAGCAACAGGACCGAATGATCATCCAACAACTCCTACATTTTTGCAAGTCTATAAAATGCTTTCCATATACTCAATTTTAAAACCCCCAAAAACTGGAAACTGCAAAATTTTGGAAAAAAATACACCAAAAATTACAATAGATGATATAAAAAGTATTTTTGTTGAAGATAGTGCTAAGAAATCTGAGAAAATATTAAAATTACAAAATAAACTGGATAGCTTACTTACAACTGGAGAGTTGGAAGTTGAAGATGTTTTTGAAAATGACATACATAATTATTGTACTCCATATAAATCTCAAGTTTCAGATTGTGTAATATATTACATTAGTGGTTTTGTTTGTAAGCATATTCTAAAACATACAAAATGTGTTGTATGTATAAATGCAATTAAAGGTTAGTATACATTTTTATAATTGTTTAATATCTAACTTAAAATAAGTCAAATGTAAAAATGTATCGTTCCATTTTTGTGTATTAATTAGCTAATTAAAATATTTCTAGGAAAAACGTATTCAAGCAAATCTGAAGCAGCTTTTACTAACCTTAAATCAAAGGTAAAATTAATTCATCCTAATGAACATTTTTATAGATTAATTGTAGCCATAGAAAATTCTTTTTCAAAAAATTGTAATAAGATGTCAGTATTTGAGGACACTTTTGATGATGTTCTGGATAATAACGCCGGATTATTAATATTTCCTTGTAGTGAACATAAAAATGAAATTTTAATGTTTATCCTCAAGTACTATATTACAACAAGAATGCGACAATATTCCAATATGGAAAATAAAAACCAACAAAAAATAAATTCAAAGAAAAAGAAGTCTGCTAAATTAGTTATTACTTAAGTCTTAATTGCTTTTAATTTAAAATTATTTTCAACAATAATTTAAAATTGAATCAATACAGTGTATACTATGTACTTTAAACAACAAATTTATTTCAGTTAGATATATAAGCAAAGATTATTAAAGAATTAATAAAAACTTACAAGTTACAAGGATATATTTATTTTTTTTTTTTATACTGTAACGAATAATGGTGATCTACACTGATGTATTAATATTTCGTAGAATGGATCATAGATGGCGTTAAAATCGCCCTTGTACTAGAAGCGTTACACTGTAGTTCCATAGATGACTATCTCGTTTCCAGTCCTGTTTATCTTAGTCCGTGGTGATAATTACTATTACTCAGCTGTTCTCGATAAATTCAACAAGTCATTTTGAGCAGGTACCTATTTATATAATTCGTTTTGGAGTGAAAGATTGTATTTATTATTTCACAATAGTTGAATGATCAATGATTTGTGTATTTTAGATTCAGAGTGGAACGATGAATGTATTGATTTTACAATGATGTGTGCTTTTTTTTTAATTTTTAATTTTTTTTTGTGTCTGTCATCACGTCATCGGACAGTAAAAGTGCTTGGATTTTCTTCAACAGTAGCTTTTCTGATAGGAAACTAGGAAAGTGAATCTAGTTGGTACTTTGGGGGGTCAAAAGTGAAATTTCCCAGTAGTTTTCAAAAGCGGAGTGAAAAACAAAAGAAAAATTAAGGAAAACCGGGAATTTTTACGCAAAAACTGTTTGCCAAAAAATCGATTTTGGTTTTTGGTGTTACTCTAAAACAGATGAAAGTATTTACATGAAATTTTCACTGGTTGTTTATATTTGAATTTTCTATACACGATAAAATTTTTAAAATATTATGATTTGTTTTGGGACATTTTCATTTTCCATTTTTTTTTTAGTTTTTTTTCTAAAAATATCAATCAAATTTTATATGTTGGTTAAAAAAACTTGAAAATTTAATACAAGGCTTTTACTATATTGTTACAATGGCATTTGAAAAATATTAAAAATCCTTAGTCACAGTTTTTTTTATATAAGCATTTAAAGTTCAAAAATTGACAAAATATGGAAAAATCACGAAAATTAGCAAATTATTTTGAGTTAAGAATTTGTAAAAACTTTTCTTTTTAAATCTAAGATTTTAAAATGTAATACAAGATTCCTTATAAGATTCCACGTAAGTAGTTAATTCTGTTACCAAAAAATCTAAAAAATACATAAGCACAGTTTATTTTTATAGTAATTTTAAGTTCAAATTTGGACAAAATTACATAATAAAAACCTAGAATAACTATTTTAGTTATTTTGTTGTGATTGTAATGATTGTATAATATCATTCGTAGGTACTTGAAACTTCTAAAGTACACTATTATATATCTATGATAGTATCAGGGTTTGTTGTTGATGTATAACACTTTATAAGTACCTAATGGATATTGTAATATGAATAATTTGGAATTTATTATATATTTATATGTACCTATTTTAGGTAAATTTTTTTTAATACGATAGATAAGTATATAATATGTCTTATACCTAGACTGACATACCGTCACCGCTCAGAATCGTTTTTCTTATATAATGATATTATATCATTGAATTCAAATTTAATACTATCCATTATACAGTGACCCACTTATAACCTACTGTACAGCAGAGTACCTTTTTTTTATTGTTATAACTTATTGCACTAAAAATGATCGAAATATGCAGTCAAAGGTTGCTTAAATATATACGGCTAAATTTTCATTTTATTTTTAAAAAATATGCAAATTAAAGTCAAAATATGCAAATTAAATTACCAAAGTAATTGATTAAAAGCAGTATTGTTAATACTTGTAGTTGTTTTAATCAAATAATATATTATGACTTAGAAGTCACAAGATGATAACTGTTTTACAACATTTTATTCAATAAAAATACTAACATTTATTCTATATACAGATATAACAATAATACAATTTTAAATTAACAAATATAGAAAACAGGAATAGTATTATTTGTTTTCAAAGACTATTTTAAAAATGTCTTTATAGTATGAAACAAAATGCACTTCAATCCCATCAGTTATAAACTTTGGAAGTTCATTAAAGTCTTTTTTATTTTCGTCAGGCAGTATCAAACAATTAACATTTTCTCTTTTGGCCTAAAAAAAAAAATATTATTTCAAATTTTACACAAGGTGTAATAAAATGTTAATTACTTACAGCAATTGTTTTTTCTTTAATACCTCCTACTGGCATAACTTTTCCTTTGAGAGAGATCTCTCCAGTCATAGCGACATTGTTGCGAATAGGAATGTTTAAAGCCAATGATAACAAAGCAGTAACAATTGTACATCCAGCACTGGGTCCATCTTTAGGTGTAGCACCCTACATTAATATTAATTACAATAAAACAATTTTAAACCAATTACTATAATAATAAACTGAACTAAGCTACTAAACTGAGTTCAACATAGTTCATAAAAAGTCAATAAAAGTTAAAACAGAATGGAAGTGACTAGAAGCAAATTTCTTTAAGCTTGTATTTAAATTTACAGTAGTACATCTAACCATTGATTATAAATAGCTCACTGGCCATATTTACGCGGTTCAAAAAATTGACAAAATATGAATGTGGTCGTTATGGAGCACTGCTGTCAGCCATAAGTATCTAATGGTTGACGATAGAGGGCCATAATGGCTACATCCATTTTTCATCAATACTTCACGCCGCATAAATACGGCACAGTGAGCGATCTATAGTATTTCTAATCAATGATCTAACAATAAATGAAGTTCAAATACTCTAGTAGTCACTTTATTTAATGCTGACATATAATCAGTCTATTTGATCTATTTTCTATAACTCAGATAATATTTACCTCAGGAACATGTAGATGAACGTTTCCAGTCAACAGCGATAGGTTTTGTGGATCGAGTTCACTTAAAAATCGTTTTGCCACAGTATACGCAGTTTTTGCTGATTCTTGCATAGTTTCACCTAAGCGACCAGTTAATATAATGTTTCCAACAGCTTTATCCTTGTCTGTAATTGTCGCCGGGTCTTTTGTCCACTCAGTTTCAATATACATCAATGCACCACCTGAAAAAAATGTATGATATAACTGTTATATTATATAACTAACAGGTTAATCTATCCAACTAACCCATGGCAGTCCAAGCCAATCCCATAACAACTCCAGGTATTGGCACTTCATACATTCGATTTTTTGTAAATATAGGATTTCCAACAAAATCATATAATTTATCACTGCTAATAATTATTTTTTCTGATTCGCCTTCAACTATTTTCAATGCAACTTTTCGTAACATCTATTAAATACACGTATAAAAAAAAAAATATTAAAAAACTACTTTGGTTTTAAAAGAAATTAGAAACTTATAGTATAATAAAAATACCTTTTCTACATGTTTTTGAAGGTTACGTACACCACTTTCACGACAATATGATTTAATAAGAGTAGATAGACTATCATCAGCAATTTCTATCTATAAATACATAAACACAAATTACTATTTACATATTAAAAAAATAATTGTAATATAAGTTTATTTTACTTGTTCTTTTTTTAGGCCAGTAGACTTAAGCCCTTGAGGAATTAAGTATTGTTTTGCAATAGCCATTTTTTCTTCTGCTACATATCCAGACACGTCTATAAGTTCCATACGATCCCTAAGTGGTTCTGGAATTGTGTTGATAACATTAGCAGTACAAATAAATAGAACCTTAGATAAGTCCACTGACACATCCAAATAATGGTCTAGGAAATTAGCATTTTGTTCGGGATCAAGCATTTCTAATAGTGCAGATGAAGGATCACCCTGATGTCCCCTAACAAAATTAAATTTAAATTAAATTAAAATATTAATACAACAATTTTTCAGCTTTATTACCTCCCAATTTTATCAACTTCATCAATTAATACTAATGGATTTTCAGTTGAAGTTTTTTTCAGACATTGAATCATTTTACCCGGCATGGCACCTACATATGTCCTACGATGGCCTTTTATCTCAGCCACATCAGTCATACCACCAACACTAAATCTAAAGTACTATATAATAAAAAATATATTATTTTGGATTAGTAATGAATATACTGTTATAATTTAAAATTAATTACTTCTCGATTTAAGGCTCTTGCAATTGACTTTGCTATACTTGTTTTTCCAACACCTGGTGGTCCATGGAAACAAAGAATTTTCCCATGAGTTGAACCTTTTAATTTGCTTACTGCAATGAACTCTAGAATTCGTTTTTTTACCTCTTCCATTCCATAATGATCTTCGTCTAAAATAGTTGTAGCCCTTTTTAAATCAAAATTTTCATCACTTGTTGTACCCCATGGTAATTGTGTTAACCAATCAAGATAATTTCTCGTAACACTAAAAAATATAATTTAACATTTCAGATTTATAATTAACTTAACAATTAAATGTTTATTTGTATAGAAGTTATAACTAAATTATATAATGTCTAACAAAAGATAGTTCATTTTAAATATAAAACAGTCACTTACTTAAATTCTGATGAATGTTGTTCCAGAAATGATAGTTTAGTTAATTCCTCTTCAATAACCTCCATAACTTTAATTGGTACTTGTTTGTCCTTTACATTAAAACAAAAAATGTTTTATTAAATAATTTTGAGTATAATTGCATTGCACTAATCCCACCCTTTTAAAAATTTGATTAAATTTAATATCTTGGTTCAATAATTACTAAATAGTAAATACTACACTAAGTAATTAACTAAAACACATCATGATAAATATAATAACTAGAAAAAAACATACTTTTATTCTGTCTCTAAACTTTTCCACAATTGAATCTTTATCATCTTTCTCAAGGCCAAGCTCTTTTTTTATTACTTTGAGTTGTTCTTGAAGAATGAATTTACGATGCTGTTGTTTAACCTTTTCATCGACTTCTTTACTGATTTTTATTTGAATTTCGCTAAGTTCTAAAAGTTTTTTTACACAACCAAGTGCAAGTAAAAGACGTTTGGGAACCTGAAATGAATTTTTAAAATGCATAGAAAAATAACAAAATTAGATCAATACTAAATTTTATAATTATAAAGAAAATAATATGTAATATATGCAGTGGCATGGTGAACATTTATAAACTTTGATGCCCAGCATATATATTTCAGTACCTACCCCCTCTTTATCCCCTTAATATAATATATCGTACATATAATTATTATGTGACTGTAAATATTTTAATTTTTGTTGCATGTTATTGGTTACCATAATGTACCATAACTACACCACTGAATATAATATGTAATAACTTATCAAACTTAAATTTCAAAGTTTATTTAATTATAATAATTATTAATAACTAAATACATTTTAATGACATACCTATTTTTCAATAATCAGTAAAATATTAATAAAAAGAAGTAAAAAATATGATTTTATTAAAAACTATAGAAAAAATGTATATTAATATTAAGCTGTATAATGTGCCAAATTTGGACTAAATAATTAATAGGTTATATACTTATATGTAATAGTAAATACTAAATACAGGCAGTTAATATAACTCACTGTTTGTTAGAAGCTAACGACCTAGTACACTATAACCTACAATTGTAGAGAATATAGAGCAAGTTAAAAGTAATACATTTTATATCACTGATATACAGTTTTATGCACCCGACCCACCACCAGATTTTGATTGAAAAACAACTCATACCACTGTGCACAAATGTAACATTTCCACTAGTATACCGATAATTACAAGTTAAAACTTAATTAAATAATTGGGAAATCTACAAAAAATATTGATGAGTTTTAAAACTCTTAAAAAATTATGCTTGCTTAAAGATTTAATTATTTTTTCAAATTTCTGCAGATAAATTTAAATTGTATGTTAAGAGGATGCTACACCCTCATGCGTTGTCTCAGTCTTATAAACGCTTAACATAACCCATACATGCTGATAAATGATAATATATTAACCTATTAATGTCTAAAGTACTATAGTTATTGTATTTGTACCTATGAAGGTATAATGTTTTTTTTTTAGATTAATAAAATGTATGTAATGGTTAGGTTAGGTAGGTACACACAAATATTTTTGATTTTTTTATACTTTCACGACAAACAAAATTTTCATGATCTCCACGAACATATTATTATAATATAAGCATTATAATAAAATATTTAAATATATACGCACATTTTACTATGCCCCTAAAAAGTTTCAGGTCGAGCCTGGGCTTGACCGGCTCGCTCCGTGCGCACGCCTATGCATAACACATTGTACTTTCTGAATATTCTATTTAATTATGTTGTGTTTAATGATGAGCTATCAACCTATTATCAAATTTAACAGTAAGATTATTATCTAGTGAATCTCGTAGGTATTATTTTATATTTTAATTTTATAACTAGTTATTAAATTAGTATTTTAAAATTGTAAATTGTTTGTACATCTTAAAATACTCATAACTTGCTTTACATTTAAAATATTAAAAAAAAAATCTATGATATTCATTAGATAATATTATTTCTAAATTTGATAATATACCAATTCACTCCAATATTAAACATAACAAGGTTAATAGTTATGGATTATTCAGAAAGTACAATTTACCATGTTGGATTTGTAAGACTAGGACAACGCATGGAAGTGTAACGTCCTTTTTTTTTTATTATTATTATTATTATTATTATTGAACAAAATGTTTATATACAATCTGTAATTACATAAATTATATTACAATGAGTAAATTTGATGACGATGATTTACGGGAGGGGGGGAAGTCACTCATTGGTGACACCCCAACGTCCTTTTAAACATGAACATTGAAATTTTCAAGTTAACTATTATTGATATTTGATAGATTAATGTGAATCTTCCATTTTTAGTTTTTTATTTCACTATGTATATTAAACGAAGCATTTAGCATTTGTTTTGCTAAATAAATACAGAGAAACCTAACTGATAAACAAATTTATAGGTTTTCTAATACGGGCCCGGACAGTATTATTTCTCCCTAATATCTTCATAATGGACAACGATCTTGGTTCAAACTCTAATTGAATTGCATTCATATGGTTATATTGGTATATTATGTATTTTGTACATACTACGCATAGTGTCGTTGGTCGCAATTACAACCAATTATTTACTTGGTACTCCCATATCTTTTTTAAGGTTAATTGTGTATAATTATATGTACTACATAGTTATCATGTACGAATGTTCCTATATTTAATATGTATTAATATTTAATATCAGTTTTTTTCATAAAAGTTTGACTAAAATAATACTAAAGCCTGTCTACTACGAACACTTTTGAATTTCGATGTTACCATGACTATCTGTTATATATAGGTTTAACTGTAATTATTATTTATATTGAAACGTGATGTACATACATTAATTTCTTCTAAAATTTCTTGATATTCGTGAGTCTCACAATCAGCTATAGCAGCTGCAATGTCAGATAAATATGAAGGATCATCTGATACATTTCCATGTTGCAACATTGGATGTAATATTTCTTTATATATTGGATTTATGCTAATAATTGATTGAATAGTTTTGATTATTTCTTGAGATAATGCCTAAGAAAAATAACAAATTAAAGTAATTGTTTTGATATAATATTAGTGAATACTGTAGACATACTTTAATCTCCATTGTTTTATCATAAGGTTCATCTTTTAGATTTTCTACTTCAATCATAAGCACTTGTTCCTGAAATTTTTCTGTTTCAGTAATTGGCTCTATTTCAGGTGTGCTTGAAGATCCCTTATTACGAGATTGTTTTTTATTACGCTTGGTTAAATCATTTGTAACTAAAAATTTTAAACACAATATTAAATAATTATTGATAGGTAACACATTAAAAGGAATCGATGAATCATAATTTGATACCGTTGAAATTTTAGCAGTAAAATTATTGAATTTTAATTATTATTGTTAAACTAAACACTTCCCTGACTTCCTGTTGTTGTAATTTTCATAAATAATTACTGAATTGAGTTTTAATTTCCATAATTGTAACAAGCTGATTTCCAAAAATATTAACCAATCTTGGGATTCAAAATATATATTATGTATAATGTTATATCATATTTCATTTTTAGATACAAATTGTTTACAGATGGAGTGAATTTAATTAAAAATTATGTTTTGTGTTTAATGGTAATTTTTTTTAATTACATTGGTAATTTGTTGAAAGTTATTATTTGAGCGATACATGTTTTTAGTTGTACAATAATTAGCATAAACATTACTTTTATCTATATCTTGGTCTTCAAAAAGTGGCTTGGTCAGCTTTATACGCCTAAAACATTGTATGAGCATATGTAATTTATTTCCAAATTCTCGCATTTCATTTATTCTACCAAGTGACCCAACACTATATACTTCATCAATATTTGTAACAATATTGTCTGGAACTCTAAAAATATAATTACAAATATACAGTGTAGGTGCATGAGTTAAATTGAAATCATTTTACTTTTATATTGATTAATAATATCTATGCAACAATAATACTTACGTATCAATGTTTTTTCTCATGAAAAGACCAATGAAAGGTTGATTTAAAGCTTTTTTTCTTTTGATCAATGCAATCAATCTAGGATCACTGATCTGTGAAAAAAAATGTCTATCATACTCTAAAATATTTTTTATAGAGATATTATGTTACTCACTAACCTCAACAATTCTAAACAATCTAGGATATAAAGGTGGTTTTGCTATTGTGACTAACGGTAGGAAAGGTATTTCATCTGGCACTTGAATGGTTGCAATTGAAGTATCAGGGTTGGACTTGATGTCATAAACAGCTCTTACAGTTTGAGATTCTTCCACTTCTTCTGGATTATCATCTTCTTTTTTATTGTCAAATCTTCTATAACGTACCGGAACATTAATAGCGGAAACCACACAAAGACGATTAGATGTATGGTTTTTCTGAACCAATGCTGATCTATCATTGTTCGAAATTATCGCACTAGCATATCGAACAAATCTACGATCAACCATAAGCTGCTTTTTCAAACCAGCTTGGCAGATACGATGCAACATTTCAATAGGATTTAATTATTTAAAATTCCGACACTAATAATTTCGGGTACTCAGTAGGAATCTGTGGACTGTTATTCTTCAGTTGATTACATCAAAATTCTGAAATAGAAGGTATTTAATACATAATAATATTATCAGTGTAAGGTAAATGTCTAAAAAAAAATTGTAAAAATGTACTTTTGCCGCAAGCAGTTGTCACTTGGAAGTTTTTAAAGGCCGTAATGATAATTGATGGGATATCCCGGATATGGACTTTGGCGTAGGTAGTAAGTACACAACTAAGTCCAAAACTCCCAAAAGTTAAAACTTAAAAGTACCTTATTAATTTTTAACAATATTTTGATTTTTGAATAAGTTCGATAACCTTAAAAACCAATGTAACCCGTCCCGTGGTTTATGGTTACCTTAGATGAAATTATACACGCCTTGCCTTGTAATATTATATTATCACAAACTTACCTTACAAACTATGTACTTTTGGTGTTATCTATAATCAATAACTTTATGAATTACCTTTTTAGTTTTTTCTGAGCACAGGTATAGTAAATAGTAATCGTGTAGACTGTAGAGTCCATACGTTTTTGTTAATAATTAAACGAATTGCGTTTTTCAACCACCGCACATTACTTTCACTAAAATGATGATATTTCTGAGTATCTGAGTTTATAGACTACAATGCACATCAGGTTTGAGAAGAAAGCCAACACAAAATGTGACAGTGACATATTGTCACTGTCCTGGATGGGAAGAGTTCCAGATAATGCAGAAGTATGTTTTAAATTATTAATTGTAATGACGTTTTGTTTTTGAAACACTATATTGATTTTTAAATCAACATTAATGACATTTCTTTTTTTGTTTTTATTTTTGGTAACAGAATAATTTGACTGCCAAAATACTGATATTGTTATTATTATGATTATTATTGTTATTAAAAGAATAAGTAAGATCTTAAGATCCAAATTGATGAAACAAATACAGTTTTGTAGAATTGGTGCCATTTAATGTACCTAAATCTACTGATTATTTCAAAACGGCAATCGGTAGGACAGTTGGATTTTTTTTTTTTGGTAGTTATTACTGGAAAAATTTATTTTTTAGGGTGTATTTATCACATCATTAAACAAATAGTGCAATATTGTTTAATTCAAAATGAAAGCTCATCCTGTAAACCCTTGTAAGAGAAATTATTTAACCCGAGGCATCGACAATTTTATAGCTTTTTAACTAAAAGTCTATGCAAGAATTTACTGGGAAAGAATAAATTTATCTTTGAGTTCTATAAGACAATCATACTTCAGATGTCGACCTCAATGCTTACTTAATGCATACTTTAACTATTTTACAATAATGTCGATGCTATACATTGAATTTCGTTCCTATTTCCAGCTTTCTGTCATAGTGTCATTCCAATAAGTGAGTCTCATGGTGAGTTTATGGTTAAAACTAATTCATTTGGAACATTCGATGGCTCAAACTTTCAAATTGAACTAATAATTCCTGATTTCGTTTTTCTTTCTTGTCTTATCAAATAATGTAGGTGTAAACAGATACATTTTTCTTCATCATATATGTATTTGAATATTTCTAATGTATTTACAATATTTTATGTATTTTATTTTATATTCTTAGTGGATTGAGGGGACTTATTTAGATAAAAAAGAATACGGCCATTGAGGTCTAAAATCTTAAATTAATATGTACTAACAAACTAGAAAAATAATTACATTACATGTTGAGCAATAACTAAAAATTAAAATGTTTGTAATTTTGTGCAAAAAAAATTTGGTGCTTGGTAAGGAGACTAACCACAGGAAATATAGGAGAAAGATCCTCATGAACTTTTTAGACTTTAATCAAAGAAATAAATATTTGTTTTACTATAATGTGTGTTCTTTTTTTAAATATTGTTTAATAATTTCATGAACACTCCTCCTCCCCCTCTGCAAAGATACAATTGAGTGTATGCCACTTGAGCCCTGCTTATAATTCATCATATAAATTTTTTTTGATGTCTTACATATTTAGGTACATACTTCATGGATCATATTAATAGGTATATCATTAACATGAATAAAATAAAAATATTTTTAAAAAAAACCATATAAGTAAATTTTGCAAACTACTATTAATTTTTTTGAACCATGTCTTGAATATTTCTGCACTTGTTAATAACATTAAGTTATTTTTTGTCTTTTAACAAAGTTTGTTAACGATTTTGATATCCACTTAACTTTTTTTTGCCAGTCAATCGTCATAATTATAATAATATAAAACAAATTTATAATAAATAATCAATAGCTCCTGGCAATGAAACAAAAATTATTAATCAGTAATCACAGATTTCCCAAATGCTGTGGCTCGAGTTTTTAGACTAATAATTGTACTATTGAGTAGACCTGTTAACAAATACTCTGTATTATTATAAATAGCTTATGTTTATGAATGTTTGAATCTCAACAAATTTGGGAAAAGTATTAAAGAACTATCATTAGAGGTATATTAATAATTCTCGAACGTTAATAGCTACATTGCTATAAATACATTAGTTGTTTTAATTTCAAACAGCATATTATTACATTAATATTATAATATAATACTGTTATTGAAATAATTTAAGTTTTAAAAGTTTTAATAATTCATAAGGGAAAAGTTTCTGACCACAAAATGTTGGTGCCCGGGGAAGTTGTAGCCAGTGCTCCCCCCTAAATTTAACTCTGTTTAAGAATAACTATTAATTACTATATGTAATAAGTAATAACTAAACTGAGTTAAAAATGTGCACACAAATATATTTTTCCTACCTAAGATAAAAACAATTATCTAGATGGAAAACCATTGATGTAACATGGAATAAACTATTTGTAGGTAGAACAAAATGTAATTAATATTTTTTGCTTATTGTATCAAAAATATAATGTGATTTGTGAATGTGAAAGGACTGAAGAAGGTGATATCCTTCTATTCCTCTATATATATATACCTACATGCAAACACAATATAGTAGTCTTGTAGGTTTAGTAAAATTATAAAATTAGTAAAAATAAATCAAGTTAGTACTATCTATAGTATTTAATGTCTAAAACTAAGTCCAGCTATACAATAAGTATTTAATTATTTTTTTAATTTACACGGGCTTAAGGTTTAATTACAATTAAAACAAAACAACTATAAACAATAACATAGCATTGCATTGATATTACTCATAAGCCTAAGTGATTCATTGGATAAATAATTACTTGATGTGAAGAGGGAGGTCTATTTTGTATAATATACTTTCCTTGTATGTTTATTTATTTTCACAATTTTTAGGCTTAAAAAAACCTTAGAAAATTATGAACAGAACCATCTATTCTATTCTTTATAATATTGTATTCGATATTAGAAAACAGATGGTTAAAATGTTATTATTATATTATTTATAAAGTTGATGAAATTTACATTTTTACTATATATAATTTAAGGAAGAAGGATGGAACTTAGATGGACGTAATTACTACAAACAAGGATGGTTGGCTACAGGCAATTCTCAAGGGGTTGTTGGTGTTACATTCACTTCTATACCAACAAATAGTGGACCAAACAGTGAAAGATTACCGCTCCGCACTAATTACAACTTGAGAAATCATCATGCCAAGGTATCATGATGCTTATCTTTTCCTTAACTGCATTTCTAATTTTTTTTTTTTTTACAAATGCATTGCAATATTTTTTATTATTTTGTTTGATAAAGGTATTATTTATTATTTTAAAATTTATAAATAATTTAGTTATTTTTACATTTTATTTTATTTATTTATTTATTTTTAGTTTTACAGCAATTTTATATTACGTTTGAATACTGCACTTTTTTTATTATTATTGATTTGGGTTTTCTCATTTGATTATTGGTGAGTATAAACAGTTTTATTATGTAATTTAAATATTATATCACTTTCTTGATTTTAATTAATTTACTAATCTTCAAACATTTATATTGAAGGGAAATAATGTAACAGAAATTTTTAATAATTATAATTTTTTTAATTCTTATTATTTGAAACATTTTTCATAAAGTTAACAAAGTAACCTACTGAACAAAATTTTACTATTTCAATTTGTCTATAAACTATAAAAAAAAAATGATATTGTTCCATGAGTCACTATTAATAAAATATGGATGTATATTTTGATAGCTTAAATTAGCTATGATCACTGATCACTTGATACATAATATTCCTCTTTAGAAACTGTTGAACTAAAATTTTTAAATTTCATAATTTCTAGTTATGGTATTGATCTCCAAGTTATTAACATTTATTTTTATTAATCAAGAAAGATGAGATTTTTTTGTTTTTTTCAGAATTTTTGTTTGTTTTTGATAAATATTAATGTTGTGAATATTTTTATTAAAAGGTTGTACTTGTGAAATGGAACGAACCATACCAAAAATTGGCATCATGTGATAGTTCTGGTGTTATAAATGTGTGGGCTAAGTTTGATTGTCGTTGGAATGTTGAACTTATCAATGATCGGAATACTAGAGTTACTTATTTTAGTTGGTCTCATGATGGTAGATTGGCCCTAATATGCTACCAAGTTAGTATTATTGTTACATACTTTCTGTCACATAATTATGTCTACCTTTTTCTTTTTTAGGATGGGTTTGTTTTGGTTGGTTCAGTTACTGGTCACAGGTACTGGTCTTCCATGCTACATCCAGAAGGAACAGTTACATGTGGTGCTTGGTCCCCCGATGATCAACAAGTATTTTTTTTGTCAAATATTAACTTTTATTAAATACTAATAATAATATACATTTTCACTAAGGTATATTTCGGAACTAGCAGAGGTCAGATGAAAGTTTTAGATATTCACGGAGCTCCAGTATCTCAAGTCAACTTGTCTGATGATTCGGGAATATCTTCTATGTCTTGGTCTTGTGAAAAGTTTTGCATGAATGAAAACAAAATAAAATCAGATCGTAAGTATATTGAGTAAAATGTATTATAAAAAATTGTAAAAGTAACTATTTAATGTGTGGATATAATATATTTTCAGATTTGTTTAAACATGTGTTAGCACTTTGTTGTAAAAATGGTACTATTCAGTTAATGCGACGATTTGATGATCCCGCCCCAGTATTAATACGCACAGGTTTATGTCCTATTTATATGGAATGGTCTAATGCGAAAGAGTTACTTTGTGTTGCTGGTTCAAGGCCCGGAAGACTAAGTGCTAACATTGTGCAAATTTATTCTGCCACTGGTCAATTAGTTTATTCCATTAACATGCCTCAGTCTTCGGCAAGTTCCCATTTTTAATACTATTATTATCATCTATGTACTAAATAGTTTTATATAATATAATTCTTACAATTGTAGGCAGTAGTAACAGCTGTAACATGGGCACACAATGACCGGAGAATTTTTATAGCAACAGGTCCAGAAATACATGTTGCATGTGTGTCTGCTTCGGTTGTTCCTTTATATGTGCTTTGTGCATTGCGAATGTGTGATGAATCATTGTTCCCGTCAGATGACATACTTCCTATTAGTATTCAAGACATTTTAACTGCTATTTCATCATCTACTATTTATGTGAGCAAATTATCAATATTACAATAATTAATATGATTAAACAAAGAATTTAGTAATTTAATGCAACTTTTAGTTGTATAATACATTAATACTATATAATATAATATATCTAAATTCTAAATAAATAAAATATATTATTTAGTGTGAAGTGCCCAAGTTGTCAGAATTGCGTCAGTTTGTTAGTAGCTCACCAAAAAATCGTCTATATTGTACAGTCGTGCAACATGTTAATGGGCCAGAAACCACACCACCAGTCTGTTATGTACTATACATGGAATACCTTGGAGGTCTTGTACCATTACTTAAAGGCAAACGAATCAGTATGCTAAGACCAGAATTCGTCATTTTTGATCCTCAAGTAGATGGTAAATACAAAATATATTGTTAAAATTTTTATTAATTTAAAATGTAAATATGCACATAATGTTAACATTGTATATTTATTTGTATAGATACAACATACGCTAATGCACAGATAACTTATAGTAATTTTGGTTGGGATGACTCTGAACCTGAATCTTGCTCTAGCCCCAAGCTCCATCGAAAAAATAGACACAGATCAAGACCTGCATGTTGTAATCGAAAATTGCAATTAAATTGTTACACAGATGTGTTACCAGAAGTACTTAAATAAAACCATTATTATAATATTCAATATATTATAATTATTTTATTATTATTGTGTAGGACTATCGTTTGGCAGAAGTTACAGCAAATGTTTGGGGTACAGAATTCCATATTCGTGGGCTGTGCGATGATTTGACTCAGAAACTAGGGAGAGTATCATACCGCACATCCATTTTACATTTACAACCTCGTCAAATGACACTGTCTATTGTTGGGGATGGGCAATCTATAGAAGATGATTCTCCGACCCCAAAACAACTTCAGAGGCGACGTAGCTGTAGTGTTGGATCATCAAATCCAAAAATTGCTGTGTCCAGAGTGGTCGAAGACTCTAAGGTTTCAGAGACATTTGCTCACAGTTTACCATCTAGTCCAGTTGCAGCTAAAAAGAAAAGTGGTTTATCATCTCCTATAAGGTAAAATAATTGTAAAATTATTACTTATTACTAAAGACCGGATTTATATTCTCATAAAATACCTAAACTAGCTAATATTCTCTAAAAAAGCCTTCAAATATTCTCATTATATTCCTTAAAAATTTCTGAAATATGCTAAAATGTGCAAAATATGCATAAATATGCAAAAATAATCAATAAACATCATTATATACTTTAATATGCATTTATAAATTATTTTTTTTCAATATTATTTTAATAGTGATGTATTAATTGGGTACTAAAAGTTGCGTATTCTAATGAAGTACTATCGCATTTTAGTAAGAGTTGGAAATTATAAAAAAAAAAAAATTTAAATGTTCAAAAAATATTTTTCTGTGTACCATAATATTAAAATTAAAAATAAATACAAATTTTCGCTCACAATTTACAAAATATTCCAAAATATGCTAAATGGGTTAAATATATACTATCTAACCCATAAAATATTCTCAAATATGCAAAAAAAACTTTTGTCTACGCATTCAGAATTGATCGAATCGTCCACATTTTTTACTCTCATAAGACTGCATAGACCCAGTAACGTTATTTAAAAACATAAAAATCCGGTCTTTACTTATTACTGATGTTTGTGTTTTAAATTTTAATAATAATAATATTTTACTTTGTTTGTTTCTAGGAAACGATTAATGAACTCGCCGTTATTTTTCCGTAAAGTCCTTAGAACTCAAATTGAACCTGACTTTCAAAATTTAGAAACATTTCAAAAATCTCAAATAAAAAATAAAGTAATTAAAATAATTAATATGATACCTAAACTAAATTTAAACATGGATAAAAATGTTCATCTTTTTTTTAATTCTAGATTGAAATGTGCACCAAAAGACAGCAATTTGTTATGCAAAACAAAGCACCAATTTGGAACGATTTAACTCAAGTTTACCAGTTGGACTTTGGAGGTCGTGTTACTCAAGAATCGGCAAAAAATTTTCAAGTTGAATATGATGGAATACAAGTGATGCAGTTTGGACGCATTGACCGCAATAATTTTGCTCTAGACTTTCAACACCCATTTTCAGCCGTCCAAGCGTTTGCAGTTGCACTTGCGAGTGTAACTCAGAGGCTCAAGTAAAATTATTGAAACAACGTGCAATTTATTTATGCACTTTTTTTTACAGGTGTGTTTAAATATTTCAATATGTCAACACTCTGTAAAAATTTGTTTGTATTTTTATTTTTTAGTGCAATATTTCATAAGTAGGGTTCCTTATTAGATTTAATATACACTTACCTATTTAGTTACAACAGCATAACACTTTTAACTGCTTTACTGAACATTCGCTATTGCATTCTTCAAAAATAAACATAATAAATTTCTCATATCTTATTGTATGTGTTCATGTGTATTTCAGCATTACTTAATTAATTATAAAAAAAATATAAAATAAAGAATTAATTAAGAGGGCTTTATTTGTTATTTTATTCAAATTTGATCTCTAAACAAAGTGTATTTTAGACATTGGGTTAAGTATAAATAAAGGGTTTTCTGTGACTACTGTAAAAATGATATATTTTGATAAAGTAGTAAATCAAGTGGCGTATCCAGAATTTTACAGATAAGGGTTACTAAATGTTTTCAACTTCCCAAATTCTCACAAAAGAAGAACAATTACCAACATTTTAATACATAATAATTCATCATGTTAATTCAAAAATAATCTGAAAACTAAACATTTTTATAATTTTGAGTATTATGGATATAAAGGAAGTTGAGTGGCTACCCCTCTGCTATACAATAGGTATCGAGAGAGGTCACTGTAATGGATGTGTTAAATTTGAATTCAATGATATAAAATCTTTGCATACAAAAAACGATTCTAAGCGAAGACTGTCTGTAAATAACACTCAGCTTATTACACCCACACTTTATCACAAAGTGCATTTTATGATATTGTTGCTCTTAAAGTAATTTATTTTACTATTAGTAATACAAGTAGGTTGAACTAATTTTTGCCAAAAACATTGTATTTTAAAATGTCATTGTGTCTATAAAATAAATATAATATACTTTAAAAGGTTCAAGTACCTACCCAAGGATAATATTTTTAATTACAAAAAAAATAACTAAAATTGTTATTATTTGTTTAAATGTCTAATTTCGTCCAAATTGGAACTCCAAAATCCATTATCTAATAACTATTTTTTGGTTACAGTAGGTATGAAATACTTATGATAAACCTCCTTTACAATTTTCATTCCTTAGCTATAAAAATTAAATATTTTATAATTTTTTAACTACAAATTATTAGCCAATTTATACGTTATTTTGATGAATTTTGACAACATTTTAACTTCAGACGCTCATAAAATATTATTATTGACTTACTTTCAACTTTTAATTTCAACTAACAACAACAACAACGTATGAGGAATGTTGTATTACATTTTTAAGTTTTTTGACTGAGCGAAAACTTTTGTACCGACAATAATTTTAAAAAAAACTTAGTAATACAATTTGAAATTTTCTAATGTCTATAAATAGCTCGAAAAGAGTCACAATATTTTGAAAATGTATGTATGTACTCCGTTCCACGAGAGAAGGAATTCATTTCGCGATGTAACTGACTGTATTTAACGACCTGGGGAACTATTTCCTTCACTCAAACGTTCCGTTCGGCACCGTTTTGTAGCACTACAACTACAAACAATATTTCATATTTGATTAGGGAAAATAGTGACCCAGGTCGTTAAACGCCGTCAGTTACACATCGCCAAACGAGTTCCTTCTATTATGGAACGGAGTATAGAAATTTCTAATATAAAAAACATTCAGTGAACATTTCATCTATTTACAGTTATTTTTTTTAGAGTTAAGTACACTTAAAAACAAAATCGATCTTTTTTTTCGAAAACTGACTGGTTTTTGCGTGAAAATCTTAAGTTTTCTTTAGTTGGTCGTTTGTTTTGACGGACGCTATTGAAAACTAATGGGAATTTTTTACTTTTGACCCCCCAAAGTTGATTCAATTTTTACACCTTACAACATGCTGTTGAACTGTTGAAGAAAATCGAAGAATTTTACTGTTCCAAAAGTTGATGAAAGACAAAAAATTTGAATCAAATTTTTCATTTTCAATATGAAAAAATACAATTTTTTATATTATACGTGTAGAGCAGCAGCTGGTAATTGTAAATTAGGTATATATAAAAAAAAAATTTTAAATATTGATAAGAACAAATACTATTTGTTTCCTGTTACACCCGCTGTATAAATAGTTAAAAATGAGTCAAAATATGGTGAATATTTAAAGTATTTACGGTAATTAGTTTTTAACCAAAAAAACTAAATCAATTTTGTGAAAAACTGATTATTCTCAAAAATTCCGGTTTTTTCAATTTTTTTTTTCGGTTTTCCGGACGCTTTAAAATACTACAGCTGTGAATCTCTCAAAAGTACCAACTTGATTCACTTTCTCATCATAAAAATTCTGAATGTGAAAATCGATGTATTTCTTCTAGAAAACGTTGACAGATACACATCGTTGTAAAATACATTCACTCCGCTCGGCGCTCGGAATCTAAAACAAATTGTAAAATCATTGCGTTCTGCAATTGTTGCTCCACTGACGTCTCAGAATCTAATATAATATGTAAATTGTATGTATAGGTAGTTCTTCGATGACTTGTTAGTTGTTTGTGTTAATAAAAACCAGAATCTGTTTTTTTTTTTTTTACCTATATATTATTATTGATAGACACCATTTGTCCATTTCTGATCATTAGGTTGGTTAAAAAAAAATTACACTAGAAGTAACGCGTCTCATAACCATAGGCCATAGCTATCCCCCTGAATATGTCACTACTCACTAGGCACTGAGTAAATTGCATGATTTCTTAAAGTTCAACTGTCGATATCTGGGTTGTTAAGCAGTGAGCACACACAAAAATCTTCTCTTAGTAGGTGGGTATGTTGTATGCAGCGTATACCCTGCAAATAGCCATATCTATTAGAATATTTTTGTAATCTTGCATAATATGTATTCCAATAAGTCAAGAACATTGATGCAATCAGAAAATTGATATATTCTATATTCACATAATATGCTTGAACTTAATATGTTTGTGTATTCCATAAAGTCAAGGTGCACATTAGTCTCATACCCAATTATAAAATAGCAAATTTCTATTACAACCACTTAGAAAGTTGGAAATAGGTTGATAATTGAGATGGTTCGGTCATGTTATGAGGAGAGGTGACTTGGAGAGTCGTGGCTTTGGAAATAAATTTAGAAGGAAAGAGATGGAGTCGTGGAGAGGAAGACCAAAGAAGAGATGGATAGACAGAATAGAGAATTATAATATAGCTGTGGTTAGTAAAGGACTAAATGACAGGGGGGGGGCAGAGCCCTAAATGAAGGCAAACAAAAAGAAGAAGACAAATATTTGTAATAAAGTAGTTATATTGAATTGTATGATATCTACTATAATAAATTCTGTACGTGACACAACTGACACGTCTACACAAACCTACACAATATCTGATATTATGTATACTCGTATGCTTGGGTAGTTATTATTGAATTTATTTATATTTGAGCATTCTTTGTAAATAGTGATCTAGTATCTACCAGCGTGTATTTAAATATTTTTATTATTAAATTATCTATTTTCTGACTTTGATGCAAGTAATTAACGGAGGGATATTACAAGAACATGTGGTTTTATATGTATCTGAGTCAGATTGTGGGCCAATGGTCATATTTTGACCTACTGAGATACTCAAATCCCCATATTTGCAATTGTGGCCAATAGACTTGCTAGTAGATGTAATTTCATCAGTAGTTGCAGCATCATATTTAGCTAGAAAATACAAGTAGGTATATAATAAAAAATAATATTTTGTAATACAAACAAGGTATAATTGCAGTTTACCTACCACCCGATTTGTTGGATTTTTTTTTCGAAAGCTTGTGAATTACGAGTTAAAAAGGATAGTGCAAAAATAAATTGATGGAAATCATTAGTTTTAAGTTCTAAGTTTACAATTTTTGGTGTTTTACGCACGCGCGTGACGTCATGGTTCACCGTGATTAGGTATAAAATAATAAAATGTAATTTATAACTCTGAGTTGGCCAGTGATCACGCCGGGTGCACATAATACCTATATATTTAAATGAAAACACTATACATTTCTGATTTCAAATAACTATAACTTTAAAACTAAGTCCGACCGCTAAATTCTAACTTTACCATCGTTTCAGTATGCTAAGCTATACATACTAGGTACGTTAAAACAAAAAGAAATTGCAATTTGCAAAAAAAAAGTAGAAAAGTTCTAGAAGATCGGCAAAAAAAGAGCAATGTATTAATGTGCAAAAGGTAAAATACTAATATTAACGCACACTTCGTAAAGCAATAACTTAAGAAATATTAATTTCCACCAATTTATTTTTGTACCATCGGACATCAGTCTTAACTCTGTCACGGCAATTTTCCGAAAAGAAATAAAACAAAATCGTAATAAGCGGTATACAATAGTACAATAGTATTGAGCTCATGCGCATAAATGTAAAATCGCAATATTCGGAAGGATTTAACTTCAAAATAATGATTTGTGGAAATGTATTTTTGCACCGTTGTTATTAACTCGTTGAAACACACGTTTCAAAAAGATCTTGTGGTTGTTAAACAGAAATTTATTGTTCCCAAACAAATTATTTACTATAGAGTAAATTGTAACTTACGGTTTAACCATTCAATAGGACATCCATCTACTTTTTTGAAATAAACAGGAGCACCTCGTGATAAAATGTTTTCCATGTATAAAATTTCATAACTACAACCAACTTCTCTACATGATTTATCACTTATTGTACCTAAATGAAATTAAAAACAATTTATCTATTAATTATACCTAGGTACATTACTATTAATATAGTCTATATTACACATTTACTACCTATTTAATAAATAATTTATTTATGTAATATAATTTAAGAACTGATATTACATTGATATGATTTTAAAAATTATTATATCCAAAGTAGATTGCTAAATCAATTTTAAATTTTGATGTGTCGAGAAAATGATTTTTTTTTTAACTAGGTTATAGTTAATGATTTAGTCTTCGA